GGGGACTGAACAGTGGAATTAGATTTTCAGTAAGGTGGGGGAAAGTGCAATATGAGGAAAACAGTTTAGGTGAAACAACAGGACTGGAATATATGGTCACTAGATGGCCAGAAGGACCTTTGACAGATATAGGTTAGCTGACAAATGGCCAAGAAATTGCAAGAGATGAATTTGGAAACCATGCCTCCCTGTTAGATTTGTGGGGTTTTTTTTTAATTTGAGTGGCACATTCCCTGACAGAAGCTAAATGTATCATGCTTGATAACATCACCAGGGCCTGCTCCCTACAACAACAGGTTTTTGGCCCTGGAACCCTGACGAGGCAACTCTATTCCCAAGGATGACCAACTAAGCTTCAGCACTATTTGCAAACTATTCCCAAGAGCTTTTGGAAAAAAGGAAAAATGCAAACTGCTGATTGGGATTTTTTTAAATCTATGTTTGGGATTTTTTCAATTTTTACTATTTTATAATCATTTTATATTAATTGTCTTTTCATTTAAATATGGTATGTTTTTCTCAAAGTAGAAGGGTCACCAAGCATAATCAGATTAAAATATAATAATTACAGAATGTTGGTGTAGAAGTGGTTGGGAAAGACATCAGATTAGTGTTCATGTACAGAACATTTCAGTGAGATGCAGCTTCTTGATGGTTCCATTGAGGAAATTTATCAAAGTATAAACAAATCATTATTGCACACATGATACGTGGTGATTTTTTTAGATCAAGTGGAAATCATCTAATGTAGTGTCAGCAGTGATAGTTCCATTGCAAGTGAACTTGGTAAAATATTTTGATTTGTTTTTTACAATACAAACAAAAATCTCTTCATGAATGGGAAAAAGAGAAAATGAGCTTTTGAAATAAAGAAACAATGAAGGAGAAAGTGAGCTGGCAGATCCAGTCATATAGGCAGGAGTATTTGAATTAGTAGCACCTAAATTGTTGATTTGAATCTTGGAATCCTACTTGACACAATTACAACACCATTTGACATTAACTGCCATAATGACATTCAATGAATCCTGGGAATGGCCAGTTGGGGAGGAGACACTTAAAATTCTCATCCAGAGAGCTCCTCTAGTGCCTCACCAAATTACAAGCACTGGGATTTCACAAGATGCAGCCATAACAGTTTAAGTAGGATCAAAGTGCTATAATTGTGTGATGTGAGAAGAGCCCAACTGTTCAACCATGCCAGTAGTGCTGAACTGGATTGCCACTGCCAATGCCACTTGTTATTTTCTGTAATCTCAATTTGAACAGTTGCATGACAGGATGGTACACGATTGTCTTCTCCAAGCTTTATTTATTGAATTTGGCCTGTGCGGATGGTTGATTCTTTAGGTGGGTTATTTTTAAAAATATCTAAACAACTTGAATGGAAAGACCTTAATTTATTTTTAAAAGAAAGCTACATGGAGAAGAAAGCAGAGGCAACAGATTTCTGTGACACCATTGATTCTGCCAAGCTATACTGGACAGATATAATATTTTTCTTTCGCATTCCTCTTTTCCTTGTGCATTGTGTTTTAGAAAGTATTTTTCTTCCTTTAATTTAGCATTTCATAATATTTTCTGTAGTTGTGCAGAGCACCGCTTATGTGCAGAGCACCACTTCAACTATTAATTGAACAAACATACCGTTTGATTAAAAAGGTGAGTGAATATCCATTATTTTATTGATTGTTTTTGTCACACTCCCCCCAAAATTTGCTAAGTTATCTTTGCTACTAAGGCAAACCCCATGTTTTCTGTAATTAATTTTATACATTTCAAACGTTTGAAAACATGTCAATTCCACTGACTATTACCCCTTCCTTTTGGTCAATGTGGGAACCTATGACCCTGCAAGGCATCACCTTCAGGATAACATGGAGGAATTGTGAGGTTCTGAGTGGGAAAACAAAGGATATTGGCTGTCATTTCATCTCTCCTCCCAGTTGAAGGATACAGCCCAGTAAGGGAGAGAACAATAGTGAAGGTAAACTGGCTTCATAGATTATGCCACTGACAACAATTTCACTTCTTAGACTATGGTCTACAGTTTTATGAATATAGACTTTTGGCAAGTGATGGGTTGCATCCCTTCCAGGCATGGTGCTTCACTCACTGTCTTTTTCCTGCTTTCCTTCGCTTCCCACTGTTTTCTTCAATCAAATGGACTTCTTTCTCTGTTGTCGCATGCTGGCAAGATTGGCTTCCATGCACAGCAACCGTAAGTTGCTGTGTGTCATGGGATAGCCTCCATTTTGCTACCATACAAAGATGGTAAGCAAACAGAGAAAATTAGAGTGGGATAAGGTCCCATGAGTGAAGTGGGACTTCATTCCACCACGTACCCAATTTTTTTATTGTGCCTTAGTTGCACCCGCCTTTTTTCTGTCAAACAAAGGAATAAAAAGTGTGACTACTATGTGATTAAATATGGTATGTTTTTCTCAAAGTAGAAGGGTCACCAAGCATAATCAGATTCAAACTCTAGACTTTAAGAAAACACCAGGAAATATTATGTACGATTCTGTGGTCAGGAATACTGAAAAGGATGGAAGTTCATGATGGACTGGAGTTTTTCAAAATCAAGATATTGGAGGTACAATTTCAAAGAGTTGTAATGTGGAAAAATGGAACTATATATGGAAGTATATAAAGAAACCAGAATGGATGACTAAAGAATTTTCAACTGAACTACGATTTAAAGGGAACATGTACATGAAATGAAAAGGGGGAAGGGAATAACCAAAGATGAATTCAAGCAAATATCCAATATGTGTAGTGAGAAAATCAGAAAAGCAAAAGCACAGGAGAAGCACTGACTTTCTAGAGATCAAAAACAATAAATGAGGGTGGCTTTTTGGCCAGGTTGATGGCAAAAAGAAGAAAAAGGAAATGGTAGGACCTCTTTGGGGACAGAATGGTAAAGTGCTAACAGGGGACTGCAAAAAGGCAGAAATATTCAACAATATTCCCAAAAGGAAAATTATGCTTAACCTGGGAGAAATCGAACAAATGATTCAGTAGGGGAAAGGTAGCACAAAATGGGCTAAATGACTTCAAATCTCCAGGGCTAATTTAGCCTGGAGGTTAAGATGTGGCATAACAGCCATGTTTGTCTATTTGAAAGGACATCATGTAGTAAATGGAGCAACCTTGTTTTCTGCTGCTCCAAAGACTAGGATACAGAGCAATAGATTCACATTACAGGAAAAAGATTCCACCTAAACTTCCTGGTGGTGCCTCAAAATCTGGCCTCGGAGATAAGAGTCTCCTTCTCATGAGGTTTTTCACCAGAAACTGTCTGTCTGTCTGTGGAACTATTTTGATTGTGTATTGCTATGTGGTAGGAGATTGGACTAGATGGCCCTTGTAGTCTTTTACAACTTTATGATTCACTAAATTTATGAATGGGGCTCACACAAAAACCAATTCCTGGTTGAGTCCTACTGGTTTTTTTCTTTTCTTTTTAAGAGTGAAATAATATTGGTTGCTTCTGTTAATCAGCCAGAGATCTACTAGATGGATCTATCCACAGAAGTTTGCTAGAAACCTTCCTTGAGTCTTATGCCCAGCCAAGGTGAAAATGTTCCCCACACCACTTCGAGTGCACTGTAGGGATATAGAAAATGTGCCCTGGTGATCTCTGGGACTATAAAATTAGCCCTAGAGCCCTCAACCTGCCCACTGGCTACACTTTCCCCAACTTTGACATTTATAGGGTGAGTTCCTCTCAGCAGATAATCTTTCTATGATATGGGAGGAGTAAGTCTCTGACCTGCAGTTTCATGCCTGGACAGGAGTAACAATAGATCCTCACAAAAAATGCTGTGGTAGATGGCAATCCAAACCACCAGATGACACCAAGTGGCAAAACAGCTACTAATTAAATGTCCTGGGGATGGGGTGGAAAACAGCATTTTTATAGGATAGATTTATTGGGGTTCTAAATCTATGGGTCCCCAGATGTTTTGGCCTTCAACTTCCAGAAAGTCTAACAGGTGGTAAACTGGCTGTGATTTCTGGGAGTTATAGGCCCAAACAGCTGGGACCCACAAGTTGAGAATCACTGGGTTAGGGTGAAGCACAAGAGAATGTCAGCAAGCAACCTCTTCTGCAATAGAATGCCTTGTGATGGGTGCTTGGATAGATGTAGATTTTGTTCAGCTCATATTTTAGTGCCAGTGTACAACTTACACCTTTCTGAAATTTTGGAAGCTCATAAAAATTCATGAATTTGAAAGAGTGGATACAAAAATGTATGTTACTTGGAAATTATCCACAAAATTCTCCATTCAGTAGAAGGAAAATCGCATACAATGCATTTATTTGAAGAAGTACACCAGAAGTATACAAAATGTTATATTTTAAAAATACACATGAATTTTCACGATGACTAAAAAAAATGCAGTCTGCTGTGGAGTTGGGGTGGAACACATTTCAGAAGGAAAATGTGAGAGAAACTGAGCTTATGATATTTGCCCATCACTAAATTGAAATAATGTTGGTCAAGAAGACTAGCTAATAGTTCAGATCTGGGCTGCAAAACCTTATTTCAGGTCTTATTATTTATTTATTATTTATTATTTAAACTTATATGCCGCCACTCCCCTGGGGCTCGGAGCGGCTTACAAGAATAGCTAAAATCTAACAAAATTTAAAAGCAATTTAAAACAATTTAAAAACAACAATATCATATTTATTTATTAGGAAATCAAAATCTGAAAGGGAATTATTCATTTTGAAAACTCATTGTATCCTAGTCCATCCTACCATGAAAAAAACCAAAGGAGGATGTTTTCACTGTTATATGTAATAAAATATTTGTGTGATTAAAAGAAAACACCTGACTGAGCGAAACTGAAGGTGACCAATTTTTCCATTCCTTTGCCATCATTGTCCATATTTTCATGATACACATTCTGACCTCTACCTAACTTTTCTAAGGAGCATCAGAATGATCTAAATGGCAAAAGTATATCTCTCCTACTAGCCATACTTACATGACCATGCAGATCAGTGTTGAGCAGCATTAGGGCACAGGTGAGTGTATGAATTCCATCTGGAAGACACAAGGAATTTTACAGTATTTTAAATTATACATTCGAATAAGCATATGCAAAGTAGTGAGGTTCCTCAGTCTTCTCAGATTACTGAGTAGGCTAACATTCAAAGAATTGAGAACACAATCTGAGCAGAATCAACACACAGCACATGATGTTTCATCCCTTCTGCAGTGATCTCCCTCCCAATTATTGGTCATCTCAATATATATTTGAGTTGTACCTGGTTTTTAAGCACATGTCATTCTTCTAAGAAGCTAGGAAAGATGATAGTCCTCTGTTTGAAGGCACCTTTTGTTTCAATAACTGAATAGTTTAGGTTCAGTATAAAGATAGAGAACCACAGGAACTATCAAGAGTCAGCACCTCGAGACTAGATTGAATAGATGCATTTGACCCTTCTCACACCCCTTTGGTAAGTTATATTAGATCTCTGTCCCACATGTTTCAACAGGATTGACAGACCCACCCTTGAAGATGCAGTTCTGTCACCATGGCATGCGACTGGATGGTATCCTACAGTGATTCATCAAATTCATTGATATAATTTTTGAAGTTAATTTTGAGATAACATTTTATAGACGAATCCACTTAAGAAGCTAGATTTATGACACAGTATGAAACATAAAATCAGATTGTGAAAAGAAAATGGTATTACCTTCGGATGTGCTCTTTTCTGGATTGCACTGACAGTATCTATGTGAGAAGTGGATGAGGACTCGCTCCCGTTCCTGGGTCTCTCCCATTAGGGGGAAAGCTTTTAGGAAAGTTCTGAACATAGAAAATGATAAATAAGCAAGCAAGCAAGAGATTTCTGCCAAATATTCTGGACAAAATAATAATAATAAATATGGAGATACCACATCTGGGGAACTGCTCTTTGGAATGTCTTAATTATAAAATGAATATATTATATATTAATAATTACATTTGTGGATTGCAGTAACTGTATATTGTAGAGTATCCATCACTATGGTTATTGATGTTTAAAAAATGGAAGAGCCACCCGTTCAAACATCACCAGGATGATTAGCCCTAAAACTGTCCACTAAATTACTAAATTATTCCATTTTTCATGAGGGAAACCCCTTAAAATTATTGGATTGGATGGGGTGGGGTGATCCACATTGTGCTATGTTGTCCTCCAGCTTCTATAGCTATCCAGAACACTGTGGGCTTTGGTTTCATGAAGTCCATGGACTGTGATTAGATTATATCTGATACCTCACTAGTTACACCTAGCACATTATGAATCTATGATGTGTAGTCTGCCCCAGTCTGTCTGAGATAGATAACAAAGGCAGGAAAGCTTCAGTACAACCATACTGAATCCCATCTCATTAAAATAGAATGAAGCCCCCTTGCCTTTGCCAATCTAAGACCCTGAAAGAGATTATCAGAAGTTCAGTATGTAGTTTGGATACAGAAATTACAGGCATGTTCTGTCCCTGGCAACATCAATTGATCAGGTAGTAGCATGCAATAGGAAAGAACTTTGCCTGAAGCTTTCAAGAGATATTGAAGTTGTTGTCAGAATAAATAAAAACAAGCTATGTGGTATGGATAAATAATCTGACCTAGTATAAACCCTGCTTCTTATGCTTCCATAACATAAAAGTCAGGTTGAATAGAAAGGTTCCTGAAAATGTTACAGTTTACTTTAGTGAGTTTTCAGTGAGAGAGTATCTCTCGCCATGCCTTTGCTGTCTTGGTCAGTCACAAAGATAAATTAATAAAATCCTTGTTGATGGGTCTTGGATATTACAATGGGGCTAAAGAACGACGCATGCAAACAATATTGGCCCTGCAATTTTGAAAGATTCATAGGTAAATGTCCTAAATTGTATTTGGGCATCTTGAATTGTATTTGGAAGACAACATATAGCCAGTACCAGTAGAACACTGGTCAGATGTAATGTTTTGCCATTGGTTGGTAGTTGCCTGTGTCTAGCTCAGTGATGTTGAACCTTTGGTCCTCCAGATGTTTGTGTCTCCAACTCCCAGAAGCCCTAGTCTGCTTGTCCAAATCTCAGGAATTCTGGAAACTAAAGTCTAAAACATCTGGAGGACCAAAGGTAGGATATCATTGGTCTAGTTCAGTGGTTCTCAACCTATGGGTCCTCAGGTGTTTTGGCCTACAACACCCAGAAATCCCAGCCAGTTTACCAGCTGTTATGATTTCTGGGAGTTGAAAGCCAAAACATCTGGGGACCCACAGGCTGAGAACCACTGGTCTAGTTAAAGCTTCTCAACAATTTCAATGACAGCCTATTGTGGCTGTTTTATATTTACAGGCTGTGTATTTCCTTCACTGTTTTGAAACAAGCATGAAAGATGAACACATATTATATAACTCTAGAAATTTTAGTCACAACATCAGCTCAAAAACATATCCATAGGTCATGGTAAATAGTGTACCTTAACTTTTATAAAAAAAACAAAACAAAATGGTATCACCCCTTTCTTTGAGTAGATTGGCAAAGGGCAAGAGCTCAGTCCATCCCAGGAAAATTTAAGAGAAGCACTGTTTCCCTCGACTCTGTCCAATCCGTGGCTACTTCTGACTTTTTCTAATTCCTGGGTGGAAAAATGTCAGTAGTCAGGGGTAGCTGAAGTGCTACTGATGCTTTCCTTTTTCTAGGAAATGGTTCTCAACATAACCATGGGTCATTTCAAAGACTATAATTGTAGCCCAAAACCAGCCCTTGACTTGTACATGAGGTCGACTTATACATATGGTAATAACGTGGCGACTGATTATCCCAGTTGTAGGAATGCTGTCATCTCTCATTTCAGCAGTGGTATGACTACATTACACAATGTCTAAAAATACCAGTGTTGACCATGCACAGAATAAAGTGCATAGTACATATAAGAGGAAGGTGTGCAGAGCAGAAGGAAACAGACAAGAATTAGAACAGAAAATGAAAGGTGCTCAGGCAGAAAGATGGGGTGTTTTAAATGTAAGCTCTAGAACTCTAAAATTCAGGGCCTCCTTGCATGTTACAAAATGCACAATGAAAAGGGTGTCTTGTTTAGAAAGAGAAGAAGCTGTTTCCGGTAAAGAAACAATAGAGGAAGGGGTTGATAGAGGAAGCTACTCCCCTCTCTCATCCACAGATGCTTTCCATGAATCTCCCACCTCCATGGGGGACCCTGTCTCATGGAGGAAAGTATCTGCAGCTTATTTTCTGGTCCCAATTCAAGGTGCAGGTTCTTACCTACAAAGACCTAGGAAGGTAAGCCTGCAGCCTACCTTCGTGACTGCATCTCCTATTATGAACCTACACGACACCTTCGATCTTTTGGAGAGGCCCTTCTCTCGCCTCTGCCCCCATCGCAAGTGCAAATTGTGGGGAGAAGAGAGAGGGCCTTCTCTGTAGTGGCCCCTCGGCTCTGGAACTCGCTCCCCAGAGAAATTAGGCAAGCCCCCACCCTGGCAATCTTTAGGAGGAGTCTGAAAACTTGGCCATTCCAGTGTGCCTTCAATGAATGAACAATAATCCCTGATCTTGACCAAACCTTGCATAAAATGTCCTTGGAAGCACTTTACCCTATCTTCTAGTGCAATTAAACCTCATTTAGTCCCTCTGATCTTCTGTCTAGATACACTACATGGCCTGCTTACCCAGTGTTTTAAACTTTTAATCCTTGCAACTCGCCCTGCCCAATTACTGTGACCTTATACTGGTTGGTGTGTTTATTTATAGTGTTTTTGTATATTATTATTATTATTATTATTATTATTATTATTATTATTATTATTATATTTTACTGTTTGTATTTTATGTTGTATATCTGCTTTGCTGTACTGTTGGGCTTGGCCTCATGTAAGCCGCCCCAAGTCCCCTTGAGGAGATGGTGGCAGGGTATAAACAAAGTTTTATTACTATTATGATTAGAGTATTATTATTATTAAGACTGAAGGAAATACGGGAGAGAGACCAATGGATAAAAAAGATAAATGAAATTAAAGACATGGACATGCTAACTTTTTTATTAAAGAAGAATACGGGAAATCCGGTTAAACAAACAAACTGGGTACAGGTGGAGGCAGGCATGTAGCCGGGGGGGAGGGGGCTTGAGGGGCTTCAGCCCCCCCCCGAAATTCTCATGGTGGTTCACAAAAAGGCCTTACTGGTGCATTATTTAAACTGTTATGTTTATTCATATCATGATCTGATCACCATACTCAATATATCCCATATGCATGGGGGTATTGGGGTAATGATACAAAAGGTTTGCTAGGCTAGCCCCTCTTTCACTCAGACTCAGCCCCCCCCCCCGAAACTCAGCCCCCCCCCCCCCCCCCCAAAATCACCCCCCCCCCCGAAACGAAATCCTGGCTACGGGCCTGGGTGGAGGAATACATAGAGAAGAGGAGTAAAGAAATCTAACTGTGAATATTATATCAATATGGGATACATACCAAAAAAGGGAAATGTGAAAGACTGCTCAAACTTCCATACAGTGGCCCTTATTTCTCATGCCAGTAAGGTAATGCTCAAGATCCTGCAAGGAAGACTCCAGCAATACATGGAGCGAGAGTTGCCAGATGTTCAAGCTGGGTTTAGAAAAGGCAGAGGAACGAGAGACCAGATTGCCAATATCGGCTGGATAATGGAGAAAGGCAGGGAGTTTCAGAAAAACATCTACTTCTGCTTCATTGACTATTCTAAAGCCTTTGACTGTGTGGATCATAATAAATTGTGGCAAGTTCTTAGTGGGATTGGCATCCCAAGCCACCTTGTCTCTCTCCTGAGGAATCTGTACAAGGACCAAGTAGCAACAGTCAGAACTGACCATGGAACAACAGACTGGTTCAAGATTGGGAAAGGCGTACGGCAAGGCTGCATCCTCTCACCCAACCTTTTTAACTTGTATGCAGAACATCATGCGATGTGCGGGGCTGGATGAATGCAAAGCTGGGGTGAAAATTGCTGGAAGAAACATTAACAACCTCAGATATGCAGATGACACCACTCTGATGGCCGAAAGCGAGGAGGAGCTGAGGAGCCTTCTAATCAAGGTGAAAGAAGAAAGCGCAAAAGCCGGGTTGCAGCTAAACGTCAAAAAAACCAAGATTATGGCAACAAGAATGATTGACAACTGGAAAAATAGAGGGAGAAACCGTGGAGGCCGTGACAGACTTTGTATTTCTAGGTGCAAAGATTACTGCAGATGCAGACTGTAGCCAGGAAATCAGAAGACGCTTACTTCTTGGGAGGAGAGCAATGTCCAATCTCGATAAAATAGTAAAGAGTAGAGACATCAGACTGGCAACAAAGATCCGCCTAGTCAAAGCCATGGTATTCCCTGTAGTAACCTACGGATGTGAGAGCTGGACCTTAGGGAAGGCTGAGCGAAGGAAGATCGATGCTTTTGAGCTGTGGTGTTGGAGGAAAGTTCGGAGAGTGCCTTGGACTGCGAGAAGATCCAACCAGTCCATCCTCCAGGAAATAAAGCCCGACTGCTCACTGGAGGGAAAGCTACTAGAGACAAAGTTGAAGTACTTTGGCCACATCATGAGGAGACAGGAAAGCCTAGAGAAGACAATTATGCTGGGGAAAGTGGAAGGCAAAAGGAAGACGGGCCGACCAAGGGCAAGATGGATGGATGGCATCCTTGAAGTGACTGGACTGACCTTGAGGGAGCTGGGGGTGGTAACGGCTGACAGGGAGCTCTGGCGTGGGCTGGTCCATGAGGTCACGAAGAGTCGGAGACGACTGAACGAATGAACAACAACAACAAATGGGATACAAGAGTAGACAAACAAGAAAAAATCAGGAAGATTATAGAGACAATAAAGTTGAACCTGTATAGGATTAGAAGGAAGTCATAAGATTTTATTTTTATTTTCATCTTTACCTTTTATATATTTATATATATATATTTGTCTCTTTTTCCTATACTTCTATCTTCTTGTTTTCCTACTTTTCTTCAAAATATTATGTTCTCCCACTTTACTTGGAAACTATATATTTTTCTTTATACCAAATAAAAAAATATTTTTTTTAAAAAAAGACTGTAGTATTCTTTGTTCTACCACTTCACCATATTCCTCTGCTTTCCAAAGTAACCCCACTGTTTTTTCCTAGCTATTAGGATGGAACTGTAGTTATATTATGTTTATTGATGTTAATTGTAATGATTTTTTAATATATGTTAAATGTTTTTAATGTTTAAATTATTTTTGTACTGTTGTGGGCATCGAATTGTGCCGTTTTGAAAACCGCCATGAGTCACCCCTGGGCAGAGACCAGCGGTATAGAAGCGTAGTAAATAAATAAATAAATAAATAAATAAATAAATAAATAAATAAATAAATAAATAAATAAAATATATGCAATGCTTTTATTAGGCCCTAAAGATTTTCCAAAGAACAACGAACAGGTTCCAAAGGATAACAGGGATGTGCAGTCCCTAAGAATAGTTATTGAAGTGAGGCAACATGTGAGCCATGACTGGTATTTCTGCTGAGCCTTTCAGGTTTCATCAGCCTCCATATGGAATACAAGTAATCCAGTTCACAGGGGAGCAGTGCACCAGCATCAAAAGAAATGCCTATAAAATAACACTTTGAATTCATGTGCTCCCCTTGTCAGACCTTCTAATTGCCTGCACTTTTCTATCGTTGTAATGCAGTAGATGATCACAACAGTTAATAAGCTGATTTGAGGGAGGATTCATAGGAAGCAAATGGAATACAGGCATAAGAGAAATGTGCACACAAAGTGAAAGTGTTTGATTTTTTTTAAAAAAAGAGTGACATCAGAAATAAATGCACGGTGACTAGCAGAAAATAAAAGCATGGGGCCTTACCTATTACTCATGCGTTTGAGATCAGTGCCCTTGCAGCTCACCTGAGTGCTTTATCCAAGGTCAGCCCAGTGAAGTCAAAGAAACGAAGATATTCCTCAGCTACCAATTTGCTAAATTCATTACTGCAATTAAAAGAGATCATAGTAAATCTACTTGTGCATACCCTTAAAAACAGAATCCCACTTGACAACCCACTGAAAACGGGTCTGAACTCACACAGCATTTGTAAGAACCAACACATGCTCACCCTGGATGTGAGCTAAATATTTTAAAACCACACTGATTTGAACAGCAGACAGGAATCCTCCCACCACGATTACAAAGTGACCATTATTCAAGCCCATATTTCAGATATTCCTATTATCCTTAGAAGTGTAGCTTACACGGACCTTATTCAGCTTAGGCACACTTTATGCAAGTATGTGTGTCCAATTGTGTGTAATGTGTGTAATACTGTGTCCAATTCTGGGCACCACAATTGAAGAGAGATATTGACAAGCTGGAATGTGTCCAGAGGAGGGTGACTAAAATGATCAAGGGTCTGGAGAACAAGCCCCATGAGGAGCGGCTTAAAGAACTGGGCATGTTTAGCCTGCAGAAGAGAAGGCTGAGAGGAGAAATGAGAGCCATGTATAAATATGTGAGAGGAAGTCATAGGGAGGAGGGCGCAAGCTTGTTTTCTGCTGCCCTGGAGACTAGGTCACAGAACAATGGCTTCAGACTATAAGAAAGGAGATTCTATCTGAACATTAGGAAGAACTTCCAGACTGCGAGAGCTGTCCAGCAGTGGTACTCTCTACCACAGAGTGTGGTGGAGGCTCTTTCCTTGAAGGCTTTTAAACAGAGCCTAGATGGCCATCTCTACAGTCACTTGCCAACCCACTACAGGACTCCACCTTTGGAAGACAACTATACTTGGCCACAAATGATTGCCTACAGTATAGCATGAATTACAAACCTCCTTTCCTCATAACTTGTCATTCAAACACACAAGTACAGAACACATTTATTTGCTTGGAAGATGAAATTAAATTATGCTTTCTCAATTACTTAGGGAAATGAAATAACATTTAATCTACCATACATCTTCTAGCCACAAAATATAAGCAGAGCAGAGAAGGAATCTATGCACCACGACTCAGAGGAAAATTGGTAAGTAACCTGAGGGTCATTATAAGATGCAGCAATAAATCAATCAAGCCATGCAGATTGCAGCAAAATGCTCTATTAGCTGAGTTGGAGATTTGCACACAAGCCTTTTTCTTGCCTGGAGATGAACATATCAAAATCGGATAATTTTAATACTTAGAGATGACACATGAATACTGCAAGGCCCGGTTTTGATATCTGACATATTTGAGATGGGATTTCCTCCTAGATATTGAAAGATGGATTCGAAGGACCTCATCAGAAAGCCCAGGTGAAGAGTCCTGCTTTGCCGGGCTTCTGTGAGGAAAGAGAGAAGAGGAGCCAATCTGTCACCCTGCGTGCAGCTTCCTCTCCACAACACTTTGCCCATCACACGGGGAAAATGTAGCCCTTGTGGGGAAGCCCCATGCTAGCTCCAATGGAGCTAGCACAACACAGGAAGCTTCCCATGTTGGGGTGGAAGCATCTGGCACCACTTTCACCCCAGTTGTGGCCTCAGCTGGATGTTATGCAACGTCGTGTGATGTCTGGCATCGATCTCCGTCTCCTAGACGAGGTGAAAGCATCCTAAGATGTTAAAATCACTCCATCTGATGAAGTAGTAAAATAATTTAGACTTGACTGAACCTTAATAAAATTTATGTCTGTAACCTAATCTTTCTAAAGCACAAATAGTGGGATTCTTTTTCCTTTAATCTGGAATGTCTGGATAGTTCTTTCGACCCACATTCCCTGTCTTCTTCTTCATTATTTCTATCCTACAGTCTCCTTTTTTCCTCTATATTGGCTGGACATTGGTATGGGGAAAGAGTGGAATATCTAGAGAGAGTGAGTAGGAGTCTTTTAGCTTTGTTTGTTCTCAAATCTTAACAATGATAGATGTTAAGAGTTGAGAACAAAGGACTCAATAAATATTAAAATAAGACAATACAGTAGAAGGAATGTAATATTGTAAGGATGTTGTCATCTAGAAGATCAGTTTCCCCTTCACCACATGCTATTTTCTGCAAATGAGGCCAATGTGCCTTTAGGGAGTCTATAATAAAGCTATTTTCATGCTATTCGGGGACTTGAAGCTTTAAATCCATAACTGTCCCCTTCTCTAAGGAATACGTGTTCTACTTTATTATGTGAATGTACCAAAACTGTTTCACTGAGTTATACATTTTCTTGTCCAACAAAGGCAAAGCCATATGGCAAAATGTACAGTATGTTAAATACACGGTGTCAGATCCAGGTGACAAAATTATACGTGGTTACTACTGAAATCTATTGAACTCAAATCATAGAGGTATTTCAGTAGATCCTAAAAGAAAGATCTTGGATTCAACACTACTGTTGTTTTTTTATTTCTTTAAAAATTAACCATTAGTTTAGTTTGGATTGGTTGCATGGCATGGGAAGGGGATGTTTCGTCCAGAGACTACACAGAGAACATGGTGATGTCATGGTGCCACAATAACAAGGTACATTTGGCTATGTCATGGCATAGCTGTGGATACAGAAAAGCTTAAATCCAATTGCTAGTCCCAACAGCTCCAGCTAATCAATAGATTCATTAGATGAAAGAGATTTACGGAAGTGCTACTAAAATAGATCCATTGAATGAAAGAGATATACAGAAGTGTTCAAGCAATTGATTCAATGGGCCTACTCTAGTTGGCTCTAGTAACTGGATTTAGGCCAAAGTCTCCCATTGCCATCACTCTGAGAGAGGACAGAAAGAGGGAAAACATTCTTACCATGCCAGTCCAATTCTTTCTTCATTTCACTGCCTACTAGGGTGGCATAAAAGACTTTCAACCCAGTTGGTTCCAATTATGATCAGTTAGTAAACATGATTAGCTGGAGCAGGATATGGATGAGAATATGCATCCTGGTGTGAATATTTTCCATTCACCCTTTCACAAGGCATCTGCATGCACTTTCCCACATTAGCGGCTCTATGCGGGTATCTCTCAAGTTCCGTACATAACAAAGGCATAGAGCTTCTGTGCCCTGGTTCCTTCTGAAGGTTACCGAAATCACTGGAAAAAATATACTCATCTGTCTTGACTTTGTTTTTATTGACAAAATGATTTAATTTTAATTAAATTGCAGCTTTCTCAAAAAATAAATAAAAAGAGCATCCAGGACTGAAGTTAGCTCATGAAACAAAGACTCAAGTTCATGAAACTGCTCCCCACCAAACTTGACCAAGGGCTTAGTTTCACCTCATCCGTTTCACTTACTTCTTCCCAAGCTGGCGTGCGACATCGCAATGCTTGAATCCCTCAAGGTGATACAACCTTTTGGCCAATCTCTTGGCGGCCTCCCCATCTGCCTTACAGCCATTGACGAGGGTATCTGTGCTTCCTTGGTCAAGTTGTTCTGTACTGCCCATATCAGAGTCAGAGTCCGAAAGGGTATCTTTTATGTTGGCATCACTGCAAGAACATAATAGAGCTCAGTAAGTAAAAGCTGGACAGTCAACTAGTTGAGCACTTGCAAAACCATGAACCAGATTCCTTCCCTAACCATCAATCAAACCACTTAATCTCGGGCCATTTCTTTTGTCACATGTTTTTATTTATCAGCTGTGTTCTCTTTGGATGTAGGTGATATCCTTACACACGAAGACTCCCCTTTTTCAGGAGGGAGGATGTTAAATGGGGCTTCCTTTCCTGTGGTTTATTCTGATAGGTTTCCCTTGACATTAAGTCTAGTCAAGTTTGAATGTGAGGGCTGGTGCTCATCTCCATTTCTAAGCCGAAGAGCCAGGGTTGTCCATACACACCCCCAAGGCCATGTGGCCGGCATGATTGCATGGAGCACTGTTACCTTCCCACTGACGTGGTACCTATTGATCTACTCACATTTGCATGTTTTCAAACTGCTAGTGTGGCAGAAGCTGGGGCTAACAATGGGAGATCACCCTGTCTCGTGGATTTGAACCACCAACCATCCAGTCAGCAAGTTCTGAAGCTTAGCAGTTTAACGCACTGTGCCACTGCAGCCCCCGGTTCATTCTGGATATATTATAAAATATCTTCCAGTTCTCTCTCTCTCTCTATTATACACACACAGACACACTAGCTGTACCCGCCATGCGTTGCTGTGGCCAACCTTCCCTCCCTTTTTCTCTCCTTCCTTCCTTCCCTCCCTCTTTCCTTTCTTCGCTCTTTTTCTTTCCCTTCCTATTTCTCTTCTTTTTTCTTCCATCTCTACCTGTTTCTTTCCTCCCTTTCTTTGCTCTTTGGTTACATCTTTCCTTCCTTCTCTCTTTCCTTCCTTCCTCCCTTCCTCCCTTCCTTCCCTTCCTCTTTCTGTCTTTCATTCCTTCTCTCCTTCCTTCTCTCTCTCTCTCCTTTAACTTTTTMATTTCATGTTCTCCTTCCATTCTTTCCTTCCTTCCTTCTCTCCTTCCCTCCTTCCTTCTTTCCCTCCCTCCTTCTCTCCTTCCTTCCTTCCCCCTTTCCCGCCTTCATTCCTTCCCTCTTTCCCTCCTTCTCTCCTTACTTGTGGACTGTCCCTACCAACTCAATTCTATGAGTCTATTTAATCTGTATTATATAATAATATATAATAGTAACATATTATATAGTAATCTATATAACAGATATATATATATATATATATATATATATATATATATATATATTATAATTGATGTAAAAATAAAAATGTAATGTTTATTTGTGGGTTGTTCCAGTTCTAAGTAGATAATGTGGYTTTTAGATGGCAGTATAGAAGGGAGGAGGATGAGGTCGGCGAGGGGAGGGGYGGAGAGAAAGGTTTGGAGAAGGGAAGAAGCTGGTGTGGGGAGGAGGAAGAGYCATGGGGAAGCGGAGGTGGAGGAGGCCACCCTTCTGCCATAGCAGAGAAAGAAAAGCTACCCCCCCCCCCGTGCAGTGACCACCCACTCTGACCTTGCCAGCTCTGGCGGCAAGTGCGGGAGGAGGCAGAGGCCCAGGGTAGGGGAGGAGAAAGAGGCCACCCTCTCATCATTGCGGTGTGCCTCTGCTCCCAGGATGACCACTCCAGTAGCCAGTGGGAGGGAGGGAGGAGGGGAGGAGGATGAGGACCACGTGTGGAGGAGGAAGGGGCATAGGGAAGTGGAAGAGGAAGAGGAGGAGACCACCCTCCTGACATAGCAGGGAAAGGGAAGGGGCTCCGTGCAGCAAGCCTCCACCTCCACTCCCATAGTGCCCACTCTTGCCTGTGTGTGTGTGTGTGTGGCCGTGCATGCACGCCTGGCTCCCAATGCTTTAGCAGCCAGCTGTTTCCCTGTGCAGAGGAGGGGGCGTGGCCCTGGGTGTCTTTGTGGACATGAGCTATTTCTCCCTGTAGGAATTTTGGGTGTAGAAGTCCTTTCTTTTTTTCCCCTTGTTTTTTTTTTTGAGTGAAGGACATACATTGAGTTGTTAGGTGTATTGTGTCCAAATTTGGTGTCAATTCATCCAGTGGTTTTTGAGTTATGTTAATCCCACAAACAAAGATTACATTTTTATTTATATAGACGTGTGTGTGTATATATATATAAGTTTGAGATATTTGGTCTTTCTGTTCCACTTAAAGTTTGGATAAATTAATGAAGGAGCTTCAAGGTGCCTTCAAGCCAAAAGAATTTAAATGATCTGCAATCATCATTTCCTTTGGTGTCCCAAGAGGCGATACCAGGTTCACAGCTTAATAGCCTCTTTCACCAAAGACCTATTCAGTCAAGAGATGCAAATTACAGTGTATAGCAGTGCTCTCACACTAATTTGTCTTCAATACAGAATGTGCACACAGTATATTGGCTGCTAATGGAGCATCCAAGTGTAAACAATCATTTCCCTGCTTAAAATTCTTTAATGTGGCAACCAGAATAGACTGGGTGATTATTTCCCAGTAGAGAAAAAGCTTGGCTGATTTGACGTGTGGTATGTGTATCTCGTTGTTGGGTGCCTTCAAATGGTTTCTGACCTATGGCAGACCTAAGGCAAATCTCGCATAGGGTTTGTTTTTTTTTTGCAAGATTTGTTTCATGGCTGGGGGGTGAGGTGAAGACTGAGAGAGTGTAACTCACCCAAGGTCACCCAATGGGTTTCCATGGCTGAGCAGAGATGTAACCCTAGTTTCTAGAGTTATGGTCCAACACTCCCAAACAACTACACCATGCTGGGTCTGTCTGATGCACTGTGCTTTAAGAAAAAAATGCCTTGTCCGATATCTGTGTTTTGATTCAAAGAAACATTTTAAAGAGGTTGCCTAGATTGAAGGAGCAATCCTATCAGCCCTACTAGCACAGCCAAAGGCAAAGGAGTATGAGAGTTGTAGTTCAGTACCATCTGGTGTGCCATACATTACTTAGGCCTGCTCCTGAAAGACAGCTATTGAATATGACATTTTAAAAACATTCAGAGCAAACTGGCCATCCAGAGATGCCTGAATGGAACATATGACTTTTCAATACTCCCAGACATTTGAAAAACCGCTTTAGTGCTTTCAGATTTTTTGTTGTTGTCATTTTATTATTGGCTGTACTGTTTTTATCTCTGCGACTGATTTTCCTTTGTGCTGTTATATATGCTCATTTACCTTCATTCAGAGTTCTGGAGAATGTGGAAGTATGCTCACAATTTTTGACATATTAGAAATGCTATACCGTGTACTATTTTAAATCTAGACATTTCAATCAAAAATCAATCCCAAAATCTAGACTGACATATCCATGCAAGCAATGTATCTTAATTCATATATATATATAAAGGAACTGGATTGCTGTGAGTTTCCTGGGCTGTCTGGCCATGTTCCAGAAGAATTCTCTCCTGACGTTTCACCCACATCTATGGCAGACATCCGCAGAAGTTGTGAGGTCTGTCGAAAACTAGGCAAGTGAGGTTTATATATCTGTGGAATGTCCAGGGTGAGAGAAAGAAGTCTTGTCTTTTGGAGGCAAGTGTGAATGTTGCAATTGGCCACCTTGATTACATAGCAGCCATAGAAGAGCACTTGATAAACCAACCTGGATACAGCATATTATCTGAGAACAACAGAAATGCTGGACCACTCTGACAACCACCATGTCAGACTACACAGAGAAGCCACTGAAAGCATATGGACAATTTCAACAGAAAAGGGGAAACCATGAAAATGAACAAAATCTGGATGCCAGTATTAAAGAACTCTAGAATCAGGATAGTAAATTGAATTGCTGACGTTGTACGCCGCCCTGAGTCCCCCTTGAGAAAGATGGGGTAGAAATGTTGGAAATAAATAAATAAATAAAGAGCAACACTCAGAAAACAGGAAAATTCAAGACAAGAAACAATCACGGCCAGCTAACTCCTCACAACAAAGGATTGTCCCATGCAGGGAGCAGCCAGGCTTTGAAGCTGCAAGGCTATTCAGTGCTAATCAAGCTGACCAATTGCAACTTTCACACTTGCCTCAAACAGACAAGTGTTCTTTCTCCCACCCTGGACATGCCACAGATATATTAACCCCACTTGCCTTGTTTCCAAGAGACCTCACAACCTTTGAGGATGCCTGCCATAGATGTGGGCAAAACATCAGGGGAGAATTCTTCTGGAACATGGCCATACAGCCCAGAAAACACAAAAAGGAACTATCCCCTTTTCTGAATAGAGTGGTGAAAGGCAAGAGCCTAGTCTGTTCTGAGAGAACCTCTACTCTACTCTCTCTCCATGGCATCGCTTCCGGCCTTTTTGAATGTCTGGGTGGAGAATTGGCAGTGGCGTTGGTGTTTTCCCTTCTCTGCAGAATGACCCTCGACTTATTTATGGATCATATCCAAATCCATAATTTTGGCATGTAACACCTACATGAGGTATATCACTATACATGAGTATATATGGTACTTTTTTAGACTACAGCTCCAAGAATCCCCTGACCTATATAATTAATTGTCACATAGACTGGAAGACTCCAACCTGTAAATCAAAATAATAGTTTTTCCATGTTCTGGAGTTGGGAAGTCCTGATAATAGTATTTACCAACTCTTAATTTTGGATTTTTTTAAATTAACAAATTTGAAATAAAATATCAGAAATCAGAGAATGGACCCTAAACCCACAACAATATACATTGTTAATACTATGTATCACAGATTCTAAGATGCCATTGATTGTTACACACACACTAATTTCAACACCATCAACAGAGAGAAAAAAAAGCTTTATTCAAATCTCTAAGACACCCCCCCATTTTTAGAGTTATTTATATGGGGTGAAATTGCATCTTAGAATCAAAGAAATCATTTATCTCTTTCTCGCACATAAGTTTATTCTGGGATTATTGTTTACTTTTAAAATTTAGGTACATACGGCCGACAGGGAGCTCTGGCGTGGGCTGGTCCATGAGGTCACGAAGAGTCGGAGACGACTGAACGAATGAACAACAACGAACATAACAATTGCATTTGAATTTTTTCCTTTTCCTTTTCCTTTTCCTTTTTTTTTTTTTTTTTTGCTTTTCATAATTCGAATGGAATTGCATTGTGGTTACAAATGGTTGCAATCAGGATGTTAAACACTTCAACCTCAAATGTATCTAATGGAACGAGATAAACTTTGAAAATAGAACTCCTTTTGGACCTAAGACTTAGGAAATATGAGAATAGCATAGTAAAAATTATCTTATAGGCTGTCAAGTCAAACTCCACACAATACCTTCAAGGTACTGATTAGATATATCCAGTGCTCGACATGCCCATATTCAATATATCTAATGCTCATATTCCTTGCATGATTAGTCAACATTTTAGTTGTGCTTTTGTGTTAATTGAACCAAAGATATCACTGTCTCAGCAACCCATATGGACAATTTTGGATTTTGGAGTACTTCAGTATTCTGGATAAGGGATGCTCAACTACTACTGTTTTAAAAAGTCTATTTCATTACAAAGTAAGGCTCAAATCACAAATGAAATCATATTCTATCATTGGAGTGCAGCTAGATAGGAGAAAACAATGATATGGACCCTCTACGTTTGGAGTGGTTTCTGCCCTGGCACGGCAGAAATAAGATGCCTCTCTATGTGGGAAAGTTTATAGCCTCTCTGTGCAGTTGCAGCTAGACTTGGCTGCCAATGAGGCATTTCATCCCATTGTAAATAGCAGCTTCATTGAAGGGATTTCCCTGAAGGTTGCGGCAGAGGGGTAAGTGTAAATTCCCACCTCCTTTCCTGCCACAGCTACTATAGCTATATTGTTGCTGTTTGCATCTTTAAAATACTTTGCACTAAATTTAAAAAGATGAATTTTGACTCCATGCCTTGTTTGAAATGTGGTGGTTATTTCACTGAGGTTAAAACTAAATGAACAGAATGGGACAGTGCTTCAAGAAGTGTGGTCTGTGGAAGAAACCTCTGATTTCCTGACAGTTTGGCCTGCCTTTGCTTTCTCCTCATCTTTCCTGTAGTTTCAGTCCTTCCTTTCCCCTTTTATTAACACTGTATTAGATGACACTATCCAAAAAGCCCAGACTACCAAGTCTTGTTTGCATTTTAATAGAGTAATATTCTGCTTGTAACCAATTTGTCAATTAAATGTGAATATTTACAAACTAACAAATTGCATATAGGTTGTTGTGGGTTTTCCGGGGTGTATGGCCATTTTGCAGAAGAATTCCCTCCTGACATTTCACCCACATCTATGGTAGGCATCCTCAGAGGTAGTGGGTAAAACATCAGGAGAGATTATTTCTGGAACATGGCCATACAGCCCGGAAAACTCACAGCAACCCAGTGATTCCAGCTATGAAAGCCTTTGACAACACAATTTCCAGATATTTTGATTTGTCTCCTGAATATGAGGACATACATGGAAACAATGAATTTAATCACCCAAACAATGTCAGAATGAAAAGCCGTATTTAGTAAGGACAACAAAAAGAAATACAGACAATGACAGTTGTACATAAGAATGAAATCACTTAAATAGACTGAGACATTAATTTGCAGTCACACTGATGAAAAGCACAATAACAAATTAAACTTATTTTCCGCCACTTAATATAAGATCTCATTTATTAATTGGCTCATTGAGCCAATTAAAGTCATCATTCTCTATAAATAATGCTACTCCCTCTGCCACTACTAATAATAACAATGAATATGCAATACTTGAGTTTCAAGAGATTCAGCAGTGGCTGATTGCTGAAAAGCGGTGAGTTAATCAAATATTAATTTTGAAATTGGTTAATAGCTATAGGACATGGAAGTATTTTTACCTGATTGAATTCATCAGCTTCATGGCATCCTCTTCTGCACTCTCAACATGGTAGCCGTTAGGGATGTTTTTCAGAGATGCCCTGCTTAGCACATTCTCGGACCGGCTGCTGGTGATAGAGTGTTTGAGCGGGCTCCCAAAATCACTATCCATCGCCTTGGCCATTGCCTCCTCCTGCTTATCTGTTATCATGGGCTCCAGAACGTCTCTCTGGTGAGCGAGGAGTTTCTGTTCTAAGAGTTCAGAACTTTCTTTGCTTCTTTGCTGAATAAGAGGTGTGAGTGGAGCTTCAAAGCTAACGCAGCTGTCTGTCTCATCAGTCAGCGAGAGCACATCCAAGGAGTCCAGGCTGCTGTAGTAAGTGCCCTTCATAAGGTCAGATTCCACAATTTTTTCAAAGGTAGAGCTAAAGCCATCTCTGATGTCTTTAAATGCAAAATCTTCCCTCTCATCGTCACTGTAGCTTAGCTTGGCTTCTGCAGCAGCGAAGCTGAAATGGAAGGATACAACTGAAGAATAGAGGCGTTGCACTTGTTAGATGTCATTCTTTTCATAACTTTATGGTATGTTTGGGGAGTGGAGACAAAATAGTAGCAGTGCAAAGCATAAAATGCACTCAAGCTTTTGCAGTGAAAGACATGTGATCCTAATATTTGGGACTGAGCTAGATGTAAACCCATGGATATCCTGATATTCCTATTGGATCCTAGTCTACTTTCAAAACCATGGAGAAAACAGAGGAAATACACAGATCCTGATTTCTTAGCAAGATGTTTTTAGAGTAAATTACCTAAATTAAACAGTTAGAGCACCATACACGCTCAGGAGAAGCAAAAGTGAAATAATAGAACAGAAAGTTGATAAACAGAACTGAATAGTTCTTATAGTTTTTGAAATTATTCAATTCTTAGATTATTAAATTGTTTAGTATATTTTAGAATGTTTGCTTTATTTGTAATGTTTTAATTTTTAATCCTTTCATGTGATTTCATTATCTTGTAATTTAGGGTAGGAGAGAAATGTTTAAATAAAGAAATTCCCAAATGGGAAAAATGTGAGAAATTTTATAATATGAAAAACTGTTGTGGCATAATTCTCAAACTCTATGGACAATGCTTTCAAATATGTTCCCCCCCCCCCCTGTAAAGAGATATTAATATATCTGAATCCTCAATCAAGCTTAGCTCAATCAGTTTACCATCCCCTAAGGCAGTGGTTCTCAACCTGGGGGCTGAGACCCCGGGGGGAGGGGTCATGAGGGGGTGTCAAAAAGGTTGCCAAAGACCAAAAATCCATAGTATTTTCTATTGGTCATGGGGGTTCTGTGTGGGAAGTTTGGCCCAATTCTATCATTAGTGGGGTTCAGAATGCTCTTTATAAATCCCAACAACTACAACTCCCAAATGTCAAAGTCTATTTTCCCCAAGCCCCACCAGTGTTCATATTTGGGCATATTGTATATTCGTGTCAAGTTTGGTTGAGATCCATCATTGTTTGAGTCCACAGTGCTCTCTGGATGTAGATGAACTACAACTCCAGAACTCAAGGTCAATGCCTCCCAAACCCTTCCAGTATATTCAGTTGGTCATGGGAGTTCTATGTGCCAAGTTGTTTCAATTCCATTGTTGGTGGAGTTCAGAATGCCCTTTGATTGTAGATGTACTATAAATCCCAGCAACTACAACTCACAAATGACAAAATCAACCACTCTCCCAACCCCACCAGTATTCACATTTGGTATTTGTGCCAAATTTGGTCCAGTGAGTGAAAATACATCCTGTATATCAGATATTTACATTACAATTCATAACAATAGCAAAATAATGTTATAGTTGGGGGTCACCAGAACATGTGGAACTGTATTAAGGTGTCACGGCATTAGGAAGGTTGAGAACCACTGCCCTAAGGACATTTGCTTACTTTAGAGTTCCTTCCAGAGTAGAGAAGGGCACACCACTTGAGCCGTTTTTTGTCCCACCATTGGGAAACAGGTAAAGTATAAATACAACAGAACACAATACAACAGCAAAATATATTTTCTTGGAAGTCCTTTCTATTAAAAGCCCTAAGAGCAGAAGAGGGAGATGAAGAAATACACAGTTTGAGCACGTGGCAACTGTGAAAATCTTCCTTTGGCAGTGACATTCCCAATCTCATAGAGATTTCAAGGTGTACTGAGGGGCATGCAAACTTATCCAAGTAATACATTTGTCATTTCTTCTGCAGTTCTGTTACCTTATCTGTTCATCTCCATCCTCAGGATCAAGCAGCTCAGCAACATCCTGGTGTGACTGTAAGCCTGCCTTGCTGAGTGTCTCACTGAATAACAACTTGTTTGTCAAAAGGCTCTCTTCCAAATCAGCACTGCTCATCCTCGGAGTGATTTGAGCTTGTCTTCTTTCGCCCCCTTTGGCATCCCTCTCTTGGCCAGGCTCTGTCTCAGTGTGTAAGCCATTTGTGAGTACCAGGCTGCTGATGCCATCCCCTGTATGTCCTGATTGTGCTTGCCATCCCTTTTCCTCCTGCATCTCAGTCTCCCTCCAAATGCCTGTCACAGTTCTCTTATGTCTGCTTGCATTGCTCACACAGGCACCATCCTCCAGGCTTCTGTTATCCATTGATCCAGGAAGCTCAATGTCATTCCGGATGTTCGATGAGATACTTGGAGATTCTGCTGGCTCTGCTGGTCCCTTGCTCTCAGGGATGATTGTGGTTACCTGCACACTTGAGGTATGTGGTTCATTATACTCTTCAGGTGGCGATGGAAATATATTTCTATTCATGATCTGTTGAGTCTTCCTTGGTTTGTGTTACCCTGTTTTCCTTGTTGATTTGAACCCTGTATTACCTTTAATGAGAGAGAAGCAGAAAATCATCAAAATCAGAAGGGGACTATTTTAAAAAATAAATGCTATTTAAATGCAAGTAATGTTTACCAAAAGTTATGTTGATAGGGCTGGGCCTTAGCACAGCAAGTTAATCACTAATTGCAGTAAATCTTGCCAGCCGAAAGGTTGACAGTTCAAAGCCCAGGTCAGGGTGAACTCCTGACTTTCAGCCCAGCTCCCTACCCACCTAGCAGTTCGAAAACAGCAATGTGAGTACATAAATAGGTACCAAGGTTAATAGGTACCAATTATATTCATTCTAAGAGTACAATTTCATAATTTAAAGGAATTTTTGAGCATACAAAGCATTTTACTTACATTAGCTCAAGAAGCCTTAGAACTACCAAAACCATGAGTAAGTTCAATATCATGCTACACTTTTAGAGAAAAGAGAAATAGTAGTCAAAAGATAATAAAGAGATGAAATCAAAGAGTATTTTGTCCCATGCAGTCCCCCCCCCCCCCCCCGCCCATTTCTATACACTTAGAAAACAGAAAGATAACAATGTATGACGGAGCCCAGCCCACAATGCATGGGGACTTCCTGTTTGTGACCATCATAAAGACCATCTGGGCAGAGACCATATTCTGAATTAGGCAGAAAAAATGAAATGCAAAGATACAGAATGGGGGACGTGTGGCTTGAGAGCAGTACATGAGAAAAAGATCTTGGAGAGCTTGTGGACAAGTTAAACATGAGCCAACAATGTGATGCTGCAGCTAAAAAAGCCAACGGGATTTTGMCCTGTATCAATAGGAGTCTAGTGTCTAGATCCAGGGAAGTCATGCTGCCCCTCTATTCTGCCTTCATTAGACCACACCTGGAATACTGTGTCCAATTCTGGGCACCACAATTGATGGGAGATGTTGACAAGCTGGAATGTGTCCAGAGGAGGGCGACTAAAATGATCAGGGGTCTGGAGAACAAGCCCTATGAGGATTGGCTTAAAGAGCTGGGCATGTTTAGCCTGAAGAAGAGAAGGCCGAGAGGAGACATGATAGCCATGTATAAGTATGTGAGAGGAAGTCATAAGGAGGAGGGAGTAAGGTTGTTTTCCTGCTTCTTGGCAGGGGGTTGGACTGGATGGCCCACAAGGTCTTTTCCAYCTCTATGATTCTATGATTCTATGATATAAAGTTGGAGAAAAGTGGGGAGGGGGAGAGAGAACACACATGGAATGAGATCTGTCAACTTTGCCCATGTTGAATCACTTCAGAGACATGGAGTAAGGAGTGAGCCTGTAGGCGGTCCCCTACCAACCATTGACATTTCTCTTTCAAAATCCTGCTTTACTTTAATTTTTAATAATAATTTAATAATTAGAAATACTAACATTAGAAATACCAACATTTCAAAATATCTTTGTTTTTCCTGTCATTTCTCCTTCATTGAATATTTGGCTTTTGAAGTTGTGATATTGCTAGCTTTTAAAGTTTTGGACCCATTACAACTGTACTCTTGGTTCGCTTCTGATACAATAAATTAAAAAAATAATTTTTGTTCTTTCTTGCCTTTTCTTCTGAAATCACCCATTTTTAAATGTGTCAAATGAGTGAGTGCAAGTGCATTTCCCACCCACCCCATAAATAAATAAATAAATAAATAAATAAATAAATTGGGGATTTTTGGCTGTTCTTTCCAATCTTGCTACTCCGGAACTGATCTTAACTGGAGGCACTGATCTTAACTGGACAATTACCCTGGGGATACTGGACTTTCCTCTTAGTCTCAGTACTCTCTGTTGCAGAAGTCCAATCAGTTTTGTTCCCAGGGTCATCTAAGCAGGAAACTTAGGGCCCCTCCAGACATAGCAGAAACCCAGAAGAAAGTGGGTTAAAACAACCTGCTTTGTCTTGGGTTTCTGTCACCACCCTCAACCTGAACCCTGGGCTTTCCCTTGAGGGATGGTTAGATGCCACCCCGAGTCAACTAAAGGTTGACCTGGGAGAGCATTCAGCCCCCGTCTACCCTCCATTTTCATAGGGGTCTGCCAGCAAAATAGTCCCCACTGCACATGACTCCTGATGTGTGAAAATGACATCAGGAGGTGTGAAAATGGCATCAGTCCCTCCCCTCCTGATGTGCCATTTGTACACATCAGTAATACTCTGCAGGGGAACTTACACTGCCAGCAGGCCCCTCTGCTAAGATTTTTTTGGGGGGAATGGGGAGTTGGAAAGTAGGGAAGAGAATGGCTGTGGGGATTTACCCCTGGAACTCCAGAAGATTCAGCACCTGGAAAGATCTGGATTTTAGCTTCATGTCTGGATCTTTCCAGGTGTTTAATCAATGTGGGAAAACCCAGTTTTCTCCACATTAATTTGCTATTGCCTCAGATAAAAGCAAGACAGGTCCTGTATTTTGGGTTTGTCTGGAAGGGCCCTTAGACTGAGCCCATCCTTTTAAAGTTTCAAACAAGCAGTTGAAACAAGGCTGTTTTGCACAGCATTCTGTGTTTGAAATTCCTGTTATAGCAGTTTTAAAACTGAATTATAGACTTGTTTCAGGCTGCTTTTAGATTTGGAAGAATACAGGGTGAGGCAGCATAATTTCCTTTTTTAAAATGCGCGCCATTCAGTCGGTTGAAGACGTAGCGGAGCACTAGTGGTCTCGTTCGAGAGGCGGGAGTATAAAGTTTTGTCCTGACACAGTTCAGTCGCCATCATACGTTGGAACAGTGAGGAGCGTGCTTTTGCCATTGAGGCCTATTTTTCGAGCGGATTTGGAGTGGCCGGCCCACTCTCCAGATTTGGCCCCTTGTGATTTTTTCCTATGGGGTTTTTTGAAATCCTGTGTTTATGTGAACTGTCCAAGGACCCTACAAGATTTTGAAGATTAACATCCAAGAAGAAATTGCCAACATAACGCCTGCTATGCTGCCTTTGGGGTTGCCTTTGAAGACTGCTCGGAAACTTCAACTAGTCCAGCGAGAAGCAGCCAGATTGCTCACCGGAGCGGCGTACAGGGAGCACACCACCCCCCTGTTACGGCAGCTCCACTGGCTGCCAATCCAATTCCGAGCACAATTCAAAGTGCTGGTTTTGACCTATAAAACCCTATACGGTTCCGGCCCAGTGTATTTGTCCGAACGGATCTCCCTCTACATCCCATCTCGAAGTTTAAGATCTTCTGGGGAGGCCCTGCTCTCGACCCCGCCACTGTCACAAGTGAGGTTGGCGGGGACGAGGAGCAGGGCCTTCTCAGTGGTGGCCCCCCACTTGTGGAACTCACTCCCCGGGGAGATTAGATCGGCGACTTCCCTTCTGGCGTTTAGGAAAAAATTGAAGCCTTTGGTCATTCTGACAACTAACTTAAGGATCTGACGATAGACAAGGATAATTGGAATGGAATGGATATATGGACTCTGAGCCCTGAGCATGAGATTGTTTTATTTTATTTATGAGATTGTTTTATTGTTTATTATGCATTGATGTTTTAATTTAATTGTTGAACTGTTTATATTTTATTGCTTGTCAGTTGATTTGGGCATCTAATTGTGCCCCCTCTGTAAGCCGCCCTGAGTCCCCCCCCCCCGGGGTGAGAAGGGCGGGGTATAAGTGAAATAAATAAATAAATAAATAAATAAATAAATAAATGACAAACGCCAGGAATCAATTTACTCAGTTTATGGAGAATGGAGAATGGGGGACATCACCTACCTAATTTGATCTTCAAAACTACATAAAACAAAACTTTAGGTATGTGCCTACATTAGAAGAAAAAATAAAAATTTCTGATTCATACAATGGGATTTATTAAGTTTTGAAAAAAGGAAGTTATGCTGCCTCACCTTGTATTTTAATGTGTTTTTTAAATGTATTTTAATATTTTATTGTCTTCATTTTTTGTTTGTTCATTGCCTCAGGAACCCTTGTCAGCTAGAAGGTGATACAGAAATAACAAATGAAGAAATACGTCAAGTTCCATGTCTGCTTCTCAAGTCTCTGCATACAACATTATGAAAACATGGCTTTGGATTTATGTTAAAATGATGACCTGTCAAATTTGGTTCACATCCCACATGTATTCGCTTTCCACTTCAAATGGACTTTTCATATCCAAAGTAAAGAAGATATAACCTGTTCCTGGAGCCCCCGGTGGCACAGTGGGTTAAACCCCTGTGCTGGCAGGACTAAAGACTGACAGGTCGCAGGTTTGAATCCAGGGAGAGCGTGAATGAGCTCCCTCTATTAGCTCCAGCTCCTCATGAGGGGACATGAGAAAAGTCTCCCACAAGGATGGTAAAAACATAAAAAGACATCCAGGCGTCCCTTGGGCAATGTCCTTGCAGACGGTCAATTCTCTCACACCAGAAGCGACTTGCAGTTTCTGACACAAGTCGTTTCTGACACGACAAAAAAAAAGAAAAACCTGTTCCTTTCAGAGTCCATTTTTTTTAAAAAATCACAATCATTTTATGTCTTTTGGCATACATTTTTTTTCTGAAAATACACATTTTTTTCTGTTTCCGCTAAAATAGATATTTTGCTAAGTTTTTCCTCAATAATCATAGAATCATAGAATCACAGAGTTGGAAGAGACCTCGTGGGCCATACAGTCCAACTCCCTGCCAAGAAGGAGGAAAATGCTTTCTTGCATCCTTTTAGTTTCTTCCCTCATGTCCCAGGAACCCTAAAAGAGGAAAACTACACAAAATTCAGAGAAATGCACAATAAAAAAATCACTGGGTTTTAATTAACACATTTATCTGGGAAGTCCGAATTGGGACTTTAAAACATGGACCCAACAAAATTATCTCTTGAGTGAAAATCAGTATCACAATTTATCATGATGTAAAACTTTTCTATCTCTCCCCCTTCCTATTCTTTTCAAACCTAAATATAGCCTAAACATACCCTGACTAAAACTTCTGGAGAATTGACATGCTTGCTCATTATAACATTTTCGGCTTAATGGGAAAGTATTACACTACTGGTTTTTGTTTTTGTCTAATGAGCCAACAAAACTGCTTTCAATTTTTGGCCTCCAACGATTCTTCTGGCTAATATGCTCCAACATTCTTTGTTACATCAACACATTTAGCATTTTAGCATTTAGTTTAGCATTTTTGATAAGAGAGCGTTCACAAGAAAATATTGCTTGTCTTCTGAAACCTTTCTAGAAAGAAACCCACTCATCCGTTTGCCTTCTGTTCAAACTAAGTCATTTATGTTATATATATATCTTTACTCCACTTTCTTGTAGGACAAGGGGTCATCTTGGTAAAGCATGACTAGAAAGTCTGCCAATGAGGGGAAGAATTTTAATTGGAAAGGAACTATAGGTCTTTTTAAAGCTTGATTTGGAACCAAACCAGTTTTTAATAAAACTGAAGAGTCAGCAAAAATAATGTCCTTGTTAATTTCATTATTGTGTTTCAGAATGGGAAAGAATCCCATGAGTGGACACTTGGGTCTAGAGACTGCATCAATGAAACAAAAACCAACACGACATGAACTACTAATATAATTTTGTTATGTTCCTTGTTTTTTTGTGAGTTTTTTCCCCCCATGAAAGTAGAGATGATTGCTGGGACAGCAAAGGTATGACTTTCAAATGTCTCCACATCAAGCATTTAAGTCCTTTCTGTGTTCACAGATCATTATTTATTATCTGTTGGGCATCAGTACAAAATGAATAAAGTCTGTGGCTATAGTTTACATGAAGACGAAAAAATAAAGTCCTCTTTAAGTTTAAAAGAACTAACTATTTTTTTAAAAAATTAGAGTTTTAATTTAAAACAATGTGGTAAATAATTACAATAATTATTTTCCATGTAGTGAAGAACATAGCATAAAATGGCTCCATTAATTCCTGTTTTCTTAATAAATTTAATTATGTGCACTTATCATTTTTCTTTCCAAGCTACATCTTTGTCTTACTGAATGAGGTTTTGAATAAATTATGTAAATTAATGTTATAAAGGAGACTTTGCCTATATGTTTTTCTAATCGTTTGTATCTCTAGTAACTGTGGGGTCTGTAGTTTAGTGAGGACCAGCACTCTTTGCCAGAGAAGATATTGTAAAACAACATCTCTCATGATTCTATAGCATTAATCCATGGCAGTTAAACCGGTGTCAAATTGCATTAATTTTTCAGTGTAGATGTAAAATTCACATTTCACAGAGAAAAAAACCTGGACAATGTAGCCAAGGAACACCAGTGTGACAAATGTAAATGAGGAAGAGCATATAAACTAAGAGAGACTGCAGCAGTTTGTTTTTATCTAGAAGGAAAAGTGAGAATTGCTACAGTAAGTTGTAACAGGATCTAGTGTGTGTGTGTGTGTGTTAAAGAAAACCTTATGCTGTTAATTATTATGTGCAGCTGCTAATGTAGGTCAATTAGTAAGTTTGGACCACACCTGGAGGGTATAACTGTATAGGTTTTAGAATGCAGTTCAGCTTTTGCTCTGAAGAGCCTTTGCTCAGGCATTTTGCTCAACCATTTCTACTGCTCTCTCATTTGGATGAAGATGAAGAAGCCTTATTCTATGTTGCTTACAAAGACTATGTAAGTTTGTTGCACTGTTTGTAACATTGCAAGTTTATGTTTTAACTCTACTGATAAGAGTAAAGTTTTTCTGTTCTTTTTCCTCTTGTCTGGGTGCAATGTTATTGTGTCTTCTGCATTGGACATGACTGAAATATGCTTAGCGCAATAAGATTCCCCCTTCTTTCCTTTCCCCTTCTAAAGCTCGATCTACACTGCTATGTAATCCGGGTGATCAAAGCAGATAATCCAGATCAAAGCAGATAATCTAGACTATTTGATTTGAACTGGATTATATGAGTCTACACTGCCATATAATCCAAAGCACATTGCCTGGATTTTATAGGGCAGTGTAGGGTCCTTTCCACACTGCCCTATATTCCAGGATTTGATCCCAGATTATCTGATTATCTGATTGATCCCAGATTATCTGGTCATAGAGATTCATATAATCCAGTTTAAAGCAGATCATCTGGGATCAGATCCTGGGATATTGGACAGTGTTAGATACAGCCTAAGGTCCCTTCCAGACAGAGCTAATTCCAAAAAGAACTGGGATTTAGTCCAAAGCCTGCTGGAATTTAGTCCAAAAAGCAGCTCCAAACTCTGGAATGTTTTAGGGGTCATGTACAGATGTCCACCTGTGTTGAAATAAAGTATTATTATTGATCTTTGGCCACATCATGAGGAGACAGCAAAGCCTAGAGAAGACAATTATGCTGGGGAAAGTGGAAGGCAAAAGGAAGAGGGGCCGACCAAGGGCAAGATGGATGGATGGCATCCTTGAAGTGACTGGAATGGACTGACCTTGAAGGAGCTGGGGGTGGTGACGGCCGACAGGGAGCTCTGGCGTGGGCTGGTCCATGAGGTCACGAAGATCGGAGACGACTGAACGAATGAACAACAACAGCTGGAATTGATCTTAGATCAGCACTGGTGGGCAGGGGCACTGCCAATCTACCCTTCCTTACCCTTCAATTTTCCCTCAATTTATGAGGGGGAGAACCAACTTAGGGCTTTGGGGAAGGGAGTGGGAATTCCTCCTGCAAGGGCTTCTGTTGGTTTTTTGAGGGAGGAGGAAGAGGGAAAATTGCTTCAGGACTCCACTAGAGCTTTCCTCAAGTAAATTGAAGGGGAAATGGATGGGGGCAGGGAGGGAAAGCTGGCAGTGCCATTACTCTTCTCCAGGCTGTCTGAGTCTGGAGAGGAGAAATGGCTGTGGAAAGAGACACTGGGACCTCAGAAGGTAATCCTGGGTGTCTGTTTCCACAGGACCCCTACCCCCAAAGCTCTAGACCTTCCGGGAAGATCCAGATCGTTAGCGGCATCTTTTAAACCTGGATTAAACCTAGTAAATCTGGTTTACTCCAGTTTTAAGTGGATTAGCCTGAAATGACATCTAGACACCTCAGGCTAATCTGTTTCCCAGCCTGCATTTTCGGTCTTTTCAAATGGGGCCTAAGGGCACTTCCACACAGCCCATTATCCCAGGAGCATCTGTGTTTACAAAACATGGATGTCCCTGGGTCCCTATCCACCCCCCACCCCAGAAAGCTTGTGTGCAAATCTGGGGCTCTGAAGATTATTACTCCTTGACTCCAAAACCTCAGTTTCTACACACTTTAAAAACAGTTTAGAGACAGAGTTCCACAGAGAACCGATGGAAGTGGTCTTGCGTTGTATAATGGGCTCCATGGCTCTTTCAACTGTTTTTAAAGTGTGTAAAACAGGGGAAGGGGACCCTGCATCTGATGAGGTCCTTGACTGTCCAACGAAGTGTATTCATGAGATTTCATATACATTTCAAAGGAGGAAAATGTTTTGTTTGTATTTGATGGAATTTAAGTTTTTGAAAATGCTGTTTAAAACTGAAGCTTCTCAGTTCAGCAAACAAACATTGCCCAAGTACCGAAGAAGGTAAACAGTTTGTGGCATAGATACCTGGAACATTATGTTTCAAAGTGTGTTCTTCACTAGCAGACCCAGAACCTGGCGACAGGAATATAACAGCCGATGTAAGTACACACTATGCTTGAGGGTCTGGGCCCTAACTCCAGCTAAGGACTGGAAAGGCAAGCATCAAAATCTGAGATATCATGCGAAGCAACTAGACGGATGGAAACTTAAAGGGGGAAAAACAGAAACACTGGGTGGAGATTTTTTTTTGTGAAGCCCTTTTCTTCAGATTTTTTTTTTCTAGAAACAGAAGGGTTGTTTTCTTTTAAAATGATAGAGATAAATATCTAAGAGGAGATATTCATATATTTCCTCCAACTACCTTATTTCTGAAATCTCCATAGCAAGCAGACATTTATGCAAGACTGCAGAAGTACTACACAATATAGTCCATGGTTGCATGGACTATATTGGTTGCTAGTCGGCAATGAGTTTGTTCAGAGACAACTGTTTTATGGGCACAAATATAATGCCAGTTCCTAACACATTAGGAGGAAAGAAGCCACTTTCTCCAGATCTGGGAAGTACTCATGGATATTTTTTTTGTTTGTTTGAGTCATATAAATTGCCAAAGAAAAAGCAATTTATCACATTTAAGATGTTCCCTACAGTTCATAACCTTGTAGGTCAATCTCTCTGTGTGTGTTTGATGAGGTGTAAATTAAATTCGATTCCTAATTTTCTGAATAAACTGTACCTTAATTTCTAGACATGTGCACTAAATTCATTCCTATCATTTCTTTCTATTTCGTAAGCACGAAATAGAAACCCCCCTCCTCACATGAAAATCTCCTCGACACAAAAGCCTGCTTTTGTATACATCCAACCTTGGAAAGATAGTGTGTGTGTGCTTGAGCATGCAGGCATGGAGCTTGGCTGCAGGTGCACTCCTGGCCTGCTTGCATGCCCCACCACACATGCACTCTCTTTCCAAGGAGAGTGTGTGTGTGGCAGGGTGTGCAGACCGGCCTGGAAAACACACACACCTGCCAGTGCCTAAAGACGAGCACCTCTTACTCTAGAGTAGAAACAGCAAGTGCCAAGTAAGAAAACTGGATACCTGAAAGGGGGGCCAGTGGGTGGGAAGCCCCCCATAAAATGATCCAATTTTCTGGCCCTGAAATGAAAGAACCAAGAATCCCCCCCTCCCAATTTTGGGAGGCTTACAAAAAATGGATTGGGGCCCACAACGAAAGCTGGGACACGAAACGGGGCAAGGTTTTTCCTGAATGCACATATCTATTAATTAAATCAAACATTCTAACTTTATGCCAAAAGAAGTTATACATAACACATTTTATGTTCCTATAGTAACCAAGGTGACTTTCTGCCTTTAAAGGGTACTACTATTGAAGTTTTTAAAAATTCTTCAAAAATATTTTTACATCTTTAACTGCAAACACACCCCACTCAAGCTCTCCTCAAAGAGCAGGACACTTAGCACAGGAAAAGTATAAGCTGTGCTTCTGAGCACAAAGGCACTGCAGAAAAGAACCAGAGATCGCTCCTAAAAAAACACTAAATGCATTTTTACAGGTAACAATCTTCGTTCAGACACTGCCAAACATCTTCAGAATAGGTTGCCAATCAAACACTCCATACATAGACATTTCAGTTGTGATATTGTAAAGTAACACATATGGGATCATATTGGAAGCTTTGGCAGCAACATGCAAGAATAAAACTATTTTGATTGACTGCTCCTAGAAGCAAATGGCATAGAGCGATGAACTTGAAAACTGGCAGAGACAGTACTAGACACACGGATGAACAAAACAGAGCTGACAAAACAAGGACTGTTAGGTTTTCCAGAAGAACAAGATAGCATGTTTGACATCTTAGAACAACAGATACTCTGGACCTTTTGAAAAAGCCACACGGAGCCAGCCTTTCATAGAGAAGCCAGTAATTTAAGATTGAGAAGCCACAAACAATTGTACAACTTCATCTACAACCTGAAAAAATGGGTGAACAATGAGAAAAGGAAGGAGCTGCAGAAAGTCACACAATACTTTAGGGCAGTTCCAGACAGCACTTTAATGCAAGCCCAATCAGGGTTTACACACCTGATTGGACTCGCATTGAAGTCCACACACACACACCAGAAAGCTTGTGCTTTTCTGGGGTGGGTGTTCACAAGCTCTCCAGGACTTTCCAGGAGGACATCAGGACACAAAATAAAACCCCCCAGAAAAGCCTTAAAAAGGAAAA